CGCTTTGGAGCACGAAAATGATTTAAATTTATTCAAGTATCTCGAAATTATTTAAAAATCATAATGGATGAACGTGTTCAAGCTCGAGTATGGGCTTCTAGGACCCAGAAATAAGTAGGTAGTTGACTAGATGTTAGTTTGTGTTAAAAATTTAGTTTTAAAAAAATTAAAAAAAAAATATCGTTAGGAAAGTACCTATCTCTAGATAACATATGACATAAAACTGTTAGAACTGAAGTACTTGGAGGCACACCGTATTTACGTTTCCGAATAAAAATCTCCACCCATAGCTGAAAGATATAATTTAAAGGTTGCCTTATAATACCCTCTAAAAAATGCACGTATAATTAAATGTCATTAGAGAGACTATAACACGACATGTAATAATTTAATAACTATGCGAAACTTATGAATTTATTAAAATTATCTAAGATATAATCTACCGTATCATACCTATCCTCTATAATTTTCTTATATTTCCAGATCATGTAAATGCACATTAAAGAACAAACACAAAAGAATTAATAACGCAAATTCGTGTATTTAAATTGTTAAATAACTGAAACGAATCGAGTCTAAGGTGGTAAAATTATATCATAATTAAAAATTACTGTTATTAGGCAGTCCATACGCGGCAATCTGCCATTTTCAGATCTACATTGTTCTAAACGGCAGTCTGCGGTATATTTCATACCTAGACGAAAAAATTAACCAACTAAAATAGAGATATTGTTTCATCTGCTATTTTTTTTATTTATTAAATAGGTATATTGGATGTTGCCAACGGAAAAAAGGACAATGTGACAGCTGACAGTTCAGGATTATTGGAACTCGAGAGAACAACGCGTTTTGATTGCTGAGCAATATTTTAAAAATAAAAAAGTGAAGGTTTGCCGTCTACAGTTTGCAATTTTCGTACAAAATTTGAAAGGAATCAATTCAATTTCATCAACTGAGAAGATATTAATTGAAAAATTGAGGGATCAATTAGTTACAAAGTTCAATTGACTCAAAAACTGAAGCCTACTGACCATGCAGAACGAAGCGAGTTCGTCGAATGGATTATAGGACAAGTGGGTGCTGATTTTTCGAAGAAACTCATCTTCATGTCATACAGCTCGAAAAACAATCTAATTACTGCATGATTCATTTCCTGGTCGTGTAATTCCCCGTTTTGGTGATCAAATCAGGCGACTGGACTTCTTTCAATCAATAAAAAATTTACAATTTTTAATAAAAAAATCGGTGTTTTATACAAAAATTACTTCTTGCGTGAATTTTGGGAAATCCTTTATATTTTAAATTACTGGACGAATTGTTAACAATACAGAAATTGTAGGTAATTTATGATTTTTGTAACAAAATACATAAAATTCTTTATTCGAGTTCCACCTAGATAATATTATTTTCAGGAATATGCTTGTTATACTGATTTAATTAACGAATTACTACTACCTACGAATAAGATAAATTTAAATTGATCAAGAAAATACTCGTCCCCTCAATGAACAGTACTAAAATAATTATATTATTTCATAAACTTAATAAGCTGTTTCAGTAAAGTCCATGACACAATTTCAAGATCCATTTTAATTCAGAATCAAGAAACATGACAAAAGAAAAATGGAAGGTGTAGTTTTTTCTTTTTTTTTTCATCTAATTCAGCATACATCAAAGATCAGTGGGTTTTATATCTAGGTCATATCTAAAATTACCTAAGGTGTCATTAGTACATTAATCTAATAATACCTCTTAAAATATCAAACAAACATTATTAATTTCATCTAATTAATTGCTACCAGTTTGTAAATAATTCAAAAACCCGATTTATTTGGAATAAAATTTGCCAGTATATTATCCTTTTTGTCTTCGTTATTTAAGGTGCTTGAAAATAGTTAGCAGATACATTCAGTATTTAAAAAGCATGGAAATAAAAATAAAGATATTTTATAAAACTTGAATATAATCGGTATAGACAAGTCTATTTATAGTTTTTAATTCAAATTTCCTCGGTATGTTTAGATTTAGATGTTAATATAAATGAGTATGTTTTTATTTTTATTGCAGATTGGACACTGAAAGTTAATTTAGTATCAGTTAATACGATCCAAAAATCTCTAATCAGATCAAAAGAGACATTTACTGCTGCCGCTATTAAATCGAAATAAACATCTAACACAGATGTAGGAAATCCTAGAAAGAATATTTTATTTTTTTATTTCATTTCAACTAAATTCAGCTTGGCATAATTTACTTTGAGATATTTTAATGCCAATTATTATTTTACTTTATGGTATTAAGACGAATAAACATTTTCTTCGATTTGATAACACTACTAAATATATGTGGTAAATGAGCAAAATAATATAAGTAAATAACCGTTATTTTCAAAAACAAAAAATATTATTACAAGAAAATTATATATTTTATTGTAGTAATCAACAATATTGCAATAATTTTATTAAAAATGATTATAATAGCTATTCTGCTATATGTAATAAATATAAATTATTATTATATTATTCATATAGATTTTGATTATGTCACGGATTTACTTTTTCCCTACCTCTATTGCTATTTTCATCAAGTCAACCTCAATAGTCGCCCGAGGTTGAGGGTGTCTCGCTGTCCAGTTGTCCTTGATTGGTGGCGATGTATTTTGCCTAAGGATAAGGTTTATGCTATAATTTATTAGTCTTTTTCCGCTCTTGATACATCCGCGAGATGGCACGGGTTTGGAGGCTTTCCACTGAGCCTGGTTGCACTTAAACTGTTTTGGCCACTTCAAGTATAAGTACTCTTGTGTCTATAATCACTGTCTTTTACGTTTTGCCTTGCTTAGAACTGTCTGTGAGATCTTCGGAGAGTACCTAGAAACTTCTCTCTAGGATACTTGATTTGTAGGCTACTTGAAGCTTGTTGTATCCCGTAGGACTTTTACCGCAGGTTTGTGCTCGTTTTTTTTACAATGTTTCCAATTATTGTAAAAATTTGGAATTTATTGAAAAATTATACTTACAATAAATGAGTTCGGTGTCTGTCATTTGATTGTATATAATGCAAATAAGAAATTTTGTATCGTACTACATGTATTGGCCAGGTTTTGGTTCTGGTTAATCAACACCAAGGTCGACGTTCGATCACTTTCCTTGAAGAGTTCACAGAAAGTCCTGTACAAAAGTCCGCCTTAGGTTTGGACATTTAGCCTATCAATTTTACCCATCTTTGGAATCCAGTCAACTCGAGTTGGTTATAGTCTATTTCATGTAATATTGTGATATCCGGAGAACTTTTTTAATTTCCGAAATTCGAAACTAGGCAGATTTTTTCAACCCTATCGTACGTCCGTCGTCTGCGGTCGCTCTGCCGTCAGTATCGGCTTCTATCGGTATCGTCTGCTGCAACTTTGGTGATTGGGGGTAGTTGGAAGCTTCGTAGAGAACTTCAGTGAAAATATTCCCAATATAAGTAAAAATTGTATTTTTCGTTTTGCGACTTCTGCTTCGGCTATGGATATTTACTTTTGCCGAGGTTGGTACCGAGTAGATAGATTGGAGACGGGCTCTTCCAAAAATGTCAAAAAATTATTTGTGTACCATAATATATGTGAAGCCATACTTATCGCAGTTTTATTTTTTTAGTCGGGTTTTTCATTTTATGTTACATGCTGCAGAATGCAACAAAAATATCAGTAATAATGATAAAAGAAATTGCAGTAAGAGTAATAATTTTCCCATTGGTACTTTCGTCATTAGAAATTGCCAGAAAAAGAAACACTATGATGATGATGATGATGATGATGGTCATGTTGATAATAATTCCAATAACGATGATAATAACAATAATGAAATTTTTAATAAATAAATATTTTAATGTACCTATTATACCTATCTTTTTTTGCATATAACTAGATCTTATCTTACCGATTTTTAGTAAAACTGTCTCACTATCTTATTTTCAGTAAAAATGTAGCTACTCTGATTTCTATGACGAATAATTTTTTCTAACAGAACGACGAGGTTAATGTGTGTTAATATTTTCATAGACAAAAGTTATTTTTATGAGTTAAAATGCATTTAAGAACATATATTTACTGGTATTTACCCAAGTTACGTTATGAAGTCAAATTTAAATTTTATGTGGTTGAAAAATAAACGGTGCTGTCTAATCTACACTTTTGTACAGATGTTTTGTAAAGTCCAGAAAAATATTTTCATATATTGGACACTGTTGGCCCTGAACAAGATCCAAAAAGTTATTGACAAATTATGACGACCCGCTTCCGCCTTTGCCGTCTCCTCCCGGCCGAGTGTGGGTATTTTTCCCGCATTCACTCTCATGTGAAATGATCATGCTTTGAGGACGACCGGTGCTCGATTTTAATCGGTTTACCTGTTAATCTCCGCCAATACTTGGAGGTCAATAACACCTCACAATATACAATCTTCTTATGTCGTGACTTTTTTAATACCACCTATGCATACCCCAGTGTTTTTAACGGTACGTTTGACCGTAATAACCACCACGACAAAAAACGCAGTGGTGTACGAACCCGATTCCGCCTCCGATAAGGGCAAACTGCAGTGTATAAGTCACGGAATGTCACAATGTTAAGTGGTAGGCGCTTGTTAATTGAAAAGGTGAAAGTAAGTTAAAATCTTCGCGGGTATTTCGGGCATCGTTAAAAAAGTAAGAAAGAAGAGTAAATACTGAAATGGAAATAGTTTCCAGTAGTGGAATTGAATTACTGCAGAATGTACCAAAAACTAATTAACATCACAAACTTTTACATATAAGAATGTTCATAAATAATATATCAAAATTACAATTGTCAGCCACGCAGAAAACTTTTATTAGTGGTTGCTTTTACAGCATAGCCCTTTTAAAATATAAGAGGTAAGAAGCAAAAGTTTTCAGATTTCCAAAATGCTATGCGCCACTCCAAAGTTGCCCGATGTGAACCACTTTTAGTACACTAACCAACACTTTTGAATATAAAATTACAAACTGTCGGCTAAGCTTGGGTGGATATTTTCACCGTTGCAGAGTGGGTTCCTGACCACCAATACCTCGCTCCAGAACCCTCCGTGCTTTACGCTCACTTTGAAGTCTTTGTCTTTGGAAGTGCTAGAAATTTTATGGCTTAGTGTTATAGTTTCATATTTTCAACCTAGCATACTTTCCAGTGATGTCTGCACTATTTCTTTTAGTTTCACCACGATTTGGGTACTATACCTCTGAATACAGTTTGAAGAAAACATGAAGAACTCAGTTTTTATACCTCCTCATATAGCTCTGTCACGTTTTAGACCATAATGTTATAATAGATCTAGGACTGTAAGCATATGCACTAGATAAATTCATTCTTATCCACTGTCATCTATTGTAGACGTCCATGATACTTTGAATTCTTCATCTAGCCTTAACTTTCTAACAAGGCTATACAGCTTTGACAACGGCAACTTTGCATAGCTTTCAGTTTTTCTTTTCGCACAGTACTTGAGCTGCTGTCTTTCTCCAGACAAAAGTTATTCAGAACGTTTCTGAGTCAAAAAACATGGCGTTACCAGTCCTGCCTTTGTTCTTACTTATTTGCTATTTTAGGTCTGATTTTAATTTATTCGAAGATCTTTTTAAGAGCTTATCAGCATGCTTCGGTCTATGGTTTCTTGCTACCATTGTTGGACCTTATCTTTTATCAACGAATATCTCATTAACGTAGACTGCTGCAAGAAGTCTTAGGCCGCCTTTTCGTTACCACGCACGATGTTCCTCATCCCTTGGTGCCCAAGATACTGTTGACTTCCTAAACATCCCAACAGCTCCATACCTGCCTAAAATAGATCTGGTCTAAGCTAATTGCTTTTAGTGCTACCTGACTGTCGGAATAAGTAGCAATTCGCTAGTTTTTAATGTTCCCTCATATCAACTCTATTCCACAGTATTGAAGGGCCATCCGGAACACTGTAGATAAACATTTCTGGACTAAGTGGGAATTCAATATTTTCCTTAGCTCCATATATATATTCGGTTCCGACTCCTGGGTTTACTTTCGAACCATCCTTTAATAAAGGATCGCTTCACCCAGTCTTTCTTTTCTGATGTTACTTACTTTCTGGTATTATTTTAAGTTCTTTTGGAAGCACCATGTTTCGACATAGTCTTAGTTAGCATTCCTAAAGGCGAATGTGCCTTTTATCGAACAGCTTTTGGTGTACTCCACTATGATTCCGTGCAATTGGTGGGTATCCCTGTTGCAGTCAGTAACATACACACCTAGCTTATCCTTGTATGAAAATATTTAATAGTGGTAGATTCAACAAGGTCTTCAGGATTGCAGTGTAGTTCCGATGATCCACAATGACACTTAAGCAAGCTAGTCTCTAAATGCCTTTTCACTCCCATATGTCTTCCATTTAAATATTTGAAATGACAATTCAAAGTCGTAACAAAACAAATAAAATTTCACTTGTTCACTAAACCTTTCTTTGCTTGAAGGCAATCAAGGAAGGGCTTCAAAATGTTAGATTTAAAAAGAAATTGTATTGTGTAAGTACAAGGACAGTTTTAGATGAATTGGTTTGTGACCACATATTTGTTAGACTAGTTATCTCTAGAAGTAGGTATGTTATCTTTCCTTTGAAAAAAATAACGGGGAAACCATTTTGAGTAGTTTTTTAGTCATATACTTTCATACTCAGATTTTCTTTTGCGCTTTTCTTTCAATTTTCTTTTATTCTCTATCTTTTTGGTACCTACAACTGCTAACTAATTCATTGGTAAAGTAGAAGTGGAAAAGTACCCAATGCATCCATTAGATATTTTTTACCCAAATGTTTAATACGTTAGGCTTTAAATATTTCTATTTACTAATTGACAGTTCACTAAAATAAAAGATTTGCCGCTTTGAATATATGCCTTGCTTTAAAAGCATTGTGACATAATAAATATTATAATCGTTTGGTGTATAATATTTTCTTTTTAAAATCGATTAAACTTCGCATAGTAACAACTGACAACGACTTTGTTATCTTGACTAATATGTTAATCCAGGAGACAGGGTGTCCATACGGACTGACCCCGAAAGAGAATATCTCTTACAGACAGATTCCAATGACCCTTGACAAGTAAAGCAAACAAGTTGATATATGATCGTCTATAAAAAAATCAGCTTTTATTTAGACGATTTAACAGCCACATTTTAGTACATAATTTGAAATAATTTATACGTAAAGATTCTCCAAATTAATATCTTCGAAAACGTATAATTATTTTAAAGTTGCATATTATAATGCGTGAGTATTTTTTTAATTTCAAGATAAAGGCCGACCATGTTTATTCCCGTCAATTGGGAAAAATGTATGTCAATATTATACACAGTGTGAACATAACAACCGCCGTTACTTGTGTTAATATGAGGATCCCAAACAACTAAAATAGATTGTATGAGTAATCGATAATAATCATTTTATACCGTTCTGTATATTAGACCGACCCGAATAAGTTTGCATCTGAGACAGCCCCGCCCACAAATGTGCACTGAACGCTGACCCAAATCACCGCGCATACATCTTATTCCTTCTAGTGCAATGCGTTCTTTCTCAATCTCGCATAGCTCTGCCCGAGACAGAAACGCAAACCTTTTAGATGTACATTTCAGATTTTCTACTGCCTTTGATAAAGAACATTCCAAAGGCATAAACACTCTTCTTTTCAAAGTTGTTAATTAGTCTAATCAAAAACCAAATAAGGAGCCTATAAATGTTTATGTTGTTTCATGTTATTAAAAATGTTTTGAAAAACACATGTTAAACTACTCCAACTATAAAAAACACTGTTTCCATAATGTTATTTTTTAACTGTGTTTTGAAATACATTTTATCTAGTATTACTTGAGATAGAATGACAGGAAAATAATAAACCAATAAAGTTCTGTTACCGAAACTACTGTAACAATTTACCGCAGCATGGGCGTGCCTTGAAATTTTCCGCGTCATTTTCAAAATATTAAAATATTTATAATTAATATTCTGCTACTAGGAATTAAATTCTTTAAATGAAACTGATTTATTTTAATAAGAAATTATACCGAAAATGCACAGAACGGTACACTCACGAAGCAACACGCATTCGTAACTGCAAAACACATATGCACTGCAAGCTGCTACGATGAACGCCACGCCGCCAGTGTCTCCTTAGAATTCTATCTCACAAATATCGTACGGACTGTATTTATCGGCGACCACACAGCTTTTTTTAGTTACATTCACATTTTCATCTGTAGTAATTAAATAACGTTACTACCCATTTGTATGTATACGAAAATCTTTGCTCAAACGAATGTTAGAATAAGTTTTTAAATCAAATATCGCATTACAAATATATTACTTTTCGCGTGAGTAGGTTTCAAGTTTTTGCATTCTAAGTCCATAAAATTATTAATTACCAATGATGCAACAACGGTTATTGATAATACAACGGTCATAAATAATGTTTATTTGAGGGTTTATTACCGATAAGTAATAAAGAACATTCTAATGTTACACGCAGTACCGTCCTTTGTACGAAGCCGACATGTTTAAGAATTATTTAATGACACAGACATTTAACTTACCGCTCATATTAATGCGACCGAGGGATAATTTCTCATATCTCATACGGACTTTTTTTATTTCGTATGTTCCAGAGAGGTGTACTGCAACCTTTCATGTAAGTATTCGGTGCTGTTTGACTGACGTCACAATTATATCTAAGATGAAACAATGATAATTTTCTACGCAATAATCAAAAAGTCTAACCGAAAGTAACACTGAATAACTTCAAAATAACTAAGGAGAGTTGCAACCAACTTTCAAAATTACCTTAATTTGAAGTTTCCTTGGAAGCTTAAGCTACCCATAGAACAACATTTACGAAATATAAATACTTTACGGATTAAAGTGTAAAGGCAACGAATGACTATTTTTTAAAATTAATTAAGCAAATTGTAAAATATCATAAAACACAGTTCAACGAAAATAGAGCAATGCAACTAGTGTCTATTTAAGAGCTCATCTGAATAGCGAAGGAAAGTTATGAGTTTAGACTGAGGGAAAATATCAGTATTTGATGGATTGTATCACACTGATTGCGTTCCATTTTTCAAAAACTCTAGTTCAAAACTGGATTTTTCAAACAAAATATTTAATGAGTAAGCATCCTTAAATGAATGGCTTCTACATATAACTAAATAATTTTGAGAAATTGCAATCCTGAAAGAAAAAGTAAAATAATATTTCCGATTAGAAAATATTTTATAAAAAAGTTTTGTGTTGTTTAGGCTGTAGCTATTGATTTATTGATTTAATATTTAAAAAAGTTACTGTTAATTAAGGCAGATATGAATAATTATTTTGCACATTTTTCAATAAAAATCTGATTACATCTACTTATATCTATTGACGCAGTGAACATATGAACAGTGTACATATGAATCTCTCGGAAATGTGAACATATTTCATGTCGATGTATATTTAATTATTTCTGCTTCTAATGACTTCATAAAATCAAATTATGTGATTCCAGTTCATCAAAAGTTATAACTGTACGAGGTGACCCAGAACTAAGCTGCAATTAAAGCTTTAGGCGCATACAAGATAAGTTCAAAACTGGTGTGGGATTGTTTACAAATGCTGACTGAACTGGCTACCAACAATACAGTCAGACTGTGTTGGATGCCAGGGCACAAAGGCATTTGTGGAAATGAGAAAGCGGATGAACTTGCTAGGAAGGGATCCGAGACAGTGTTCATTGGCCCGGAGCCCTTCTGTGGCACATCTCCCAGTGTGGTCAGGCGGGCTCTGGGCAAATGGACAGAGACAGAACATAGGAAATACTGGACTTCAAGGCCAGGACATAGCCATTCTAAGGAGCTTATGGAGTATCCTTCGAAGGGAAGAGCGAATGAGCTACTGAGCTTGAATAGAATCCGGCTCAGGAGAGTGACAGGACTCATAACGGGACACTGTCACTTTAGGAAACATCTACATAAGCTAAAGCTTGTAGACAGTCCGATCTGCCAAGGATGTGAATCGGCGGATGAAACCTCTCTGCATATCTTGGGCGAGTGCCCGGGATTTGCACGTAGC